CGCCATTTCGTACTTAACTACCAGGATTTATTCGTCGTTTTCACATGTGTTGGACGTAAGTTCGAACTTTGATTATTCTCGCAAATGTACCCCGCTTTGACAACAAATATGAAAGGCTCACAATTTCGCAATAAAATTCTAAAACTGTACGCGCATAAAAATATATATTTCAAACAAACAATTTTGTGTTTCATTTTATGGAATGTTTTCAAATATGAGCTAGCTAGTCGTGACGGAATTCGTCGGTGGCAAATAAATCGGACATAGTTGCATAAAATACCGCCGCTTTATAAACTAAAATAAACTTCTGTCTGTTCGATGGCGTTGATTGCAAACTTCTGCAGAGATTCTAAATTTGGAAAATTAATCCCCGCGTAAGTCAACCCCATTTCCGTGTAGTTAACCAACCTCGAGTTCCCACCACATAAATCAGAAGTTAAAAAAAGAAATAAGCCGCTCACTCCTCAGAAAGAAACAAAGAGACCAAAGCGGATTACATCATTTACATAAAAGGATACAGAATCTGCAAGACCTTACGCACCACGAGACATGCAAGAAACATCTTGAACACGAAATCCTCTCAGATTCTTAGCACAGTTAATTCGACTTAAATCCAATTAGCCTTATAAATGCCCGTCTCGCTGCAACAAGACGTCCGACCTCGCTAATTCCTTCAACGTTCTCGTAACACACAAGAACACGAATCTGCTGATTGTGACACGAATTTGGGACCATCGATTGAAGTCCCAATCAGGTGAATCTGACACTGAAAAAGTGAGACGATGGAAAATTTCAGTGGAAAGGCAAATTGCTGTCAGCGGATGGTCATATTACGGCAATATAGGCAGGGTGTGTTAGTCGGCCGGTAAATGGAAAGGCGTGGACTGGAAAATCGGCGGGTTTGTGGAAAGGGATTATTATTTGTCCCACAAAATTCAAACCAATCCAATCATTTGGTTTAATTTTTTTATTTTGATCAATCGGTGGAAAATAACTGACAATTTCCGGCAATCTGCTTTAGTAATTGTCGAAAATTTTAGGAAATTGAACATACAGTTTTTCTTTATAAATATACGGTTTCCAGTTTTTACTGACGAACAAGTTTTCTTTTCATATTCTGTCCAACGCCTTTCGAATGTCTGATCTCTTTCTTCTAAATTCTTTCTGTCTTTCCTTCAGTTTTTTTTCTCAAGCTAGATATGCTTTAAAATACTGGCACATAGTTTTCCCAATGACCCCCCAAAATTATTTTTGAAGTTTGCACAGTCTTTGTTATCTCCCTTTCTGAATATTGGAGTGATAATGCATATTCAGTAGATATTTCGTCACCCTGCTGCTTTGCCATTCCTCATTTGGTTTATTGCTTCCTTCCTTCAGCTCTTTTCCGTTATTTTTTCATCCAATTTTTGTTGTTTCTGTTGCATTCTGATCATTTTCTTGTTGCGTTTATTATCTGTCTAATAAATATCGACACACAAGAGAATGGAAGACCTATTCTTTCATGATCTAGCAATAACCATTCGCCGGATGGACCTTATTGCAGTACCTCTTTAGTTTAGACTCAGGAAGTAAAAATAAGTGCTTGTAAATTGGTCAAAAGTTATTTCGACAGAACATCTTTCGCCCGTGAAGTACAATAAGACATATCCAGCTTTTTCGAAAAATTCGCTCGTACGGGATGGAAATTCATTGCAGTGACGATTAAATTCAGTACCTAATTATCACCCGCTACTGAGTCCCGGCGATTCATGATTACATTTGTGGCGGCACAGTAATAGCGGCTCTGTAGCCAAGTGGTCAAGGCACCTGCCCGGCAAACGGTTCGATATTTTTCTTCGTTTGCCTACACATTTGCACCAGAGGTAGACTCTCTAGAAGTACGGACAGTAGTAAAGAAAAGAAGTAAAAGATCTTAGAAGAAATAAAAGAGTTCCAGTTTAAGTAATATTCCATTCAAAAGATACTTGACATTTCTAAATTCGGCGTTTTGACAATTCTAAAGTGATTGCTGGACAATGCATTTTGTTTTAACTACTTAAGTAAGTTAAGAAAACTAAAAATTGCTTCCTCGCACTACAACCCTTTCTTGTCTGGAAGAACCTCGCCTCCGTCTAATATTCCCAAGAACCAACTTCCGACAACTTGCAACTTGCCTAAAGATCAAATTACATAAAAGTGGATCTAGAAATTGGATTAAATAACAATTTTCGGGCTATATTGAAAATCACGCCGTAATTTCCTCTATTAAACTCGTTGGTCCCCACTTCTATCTAAAAGGATCGCGAACTCCCAACTATTCGAATTATTAGACTCATCAAGACTCACAAATTGCCTTTCCGGTAACTGTCATTTAAAATTCTCCGACACTTTCAAGTTCGGAAAGTGGTGTCTTAAATTCCGCCGAAGTTTATGAGAACTTCTCGAAGCGATTTCATTTTTCCCGAATGCGTAATTCGGTCTTACTTGAGCTTGACGACGAGCCAAGTTCGGTGGTTTGAGCGAGTTGTTGTCGATTACTGGTAATTATATTCTGGGGTTTTGTAATTATTTGTAGCGTTAGACAGTCGTTGCTAACTCGTTTATATGCGTCTCTGGTGTTTTGCTACGAGTATGCACTGCATAATCTATACGGGTAAACTTAGCCAAGTTTCGTGTAACTCGCGAGCGTCTTCTATTAAGAGTCATTGTCAGAGAACTTGCCACTTAACTATTTACCACAGAAATTTATCAAGGAAACTGAGGCGAGTCCCACAAAGGGATAGAATCTTTCAGGATACAATCTTATTAAGCTAATTATTATAACTGAATTAGTGCTGCATGTGTTAGAGAGCACGCATTTTTCGTGTCGGGACAAAAATGTTTGGCCTGGTGCTGGCAGGAATGTGAATGTGACTGAGGTGTACGTGAAGATTCGCGAAATGGGTTTGAATTTAGTTTACTACGTTGGATTTTTTTCCAGATCGTACAAAAAATCATAACGCTGAAATGTGTTATACCAATTCTAAAAAATGTAGCAACAAATATTACTATGCAATCATTAAGTAATTCCTACTCTTTGGATTAAAAATTCTATACAGTTATACGGGGAATATAATTTAAGTTGCGCGTATTTCTGTCAAACAATTCCATTTTTTTTTTTAGGGCAACAATGGTACTTAAGTGAGTGCGTCAATATCCGTTATCCCCTCTAAATCACAAAATTGACTAATTTATGAGTCATGCCATTTATATTACAATACAAGGAAAGACGTTTATTCTTTCTGCAAAAGCTAAGATATTTACACTTTTTGTCATTTAAAATAAGTTTACTCCTACTATTTACATCAAAAGATAAGATATGTGACTACATCATTACAATATAAGATAAACCGTAAGACCGTAAGACCCCCTAGACAATTCTCTTCAAAAACCATTAATTTCAGTACTAATAATATATTATCTAAATCCGAATTATCTAAGATTATGTATACAGTGATGTACTTCGCCAAATGCGTCAGATAGATCTGTAAGTACAGCGTTTCTATAAATGATTATAGGGTCGGTGTAGGTTATGGAAGCGTGTCGCCTATAACTTTATGCGGATTTTACTAAATTCCCAAGGACTCACGACAAATACCACACGCATCTGTATAATTGGTTGCCTAAATTCTTCATATGTTATTCAAAAATAATCTAATAATTCATTCATTATTGTGGTTAAACATCGCAGTAAATATTGAAAAACAAATTACATTAATGACAAGTGAGAACTATCATAATGAGGCATAATTTCACCGAAGCGGGATTTTTGAAATCCATAGCCAACTACGCCCTTAGAATCATAGACAGAATGCTGAAAAAATGGCGTACCAACTCAACGGTACGTTATTAAATTTTTAACATTTTTTAAATTATTTTTTCTTTGTTCTATGAACAGTTTTATATATATTTCATGCGTTATTCCTGACATACACCTAAAATTTGACAATAATCAGAGATTATGTGTCTAACGAAAATTGACACAGACAAACGGAAACCTGAGATTTACTTGTTCCTACTCTAGAGGTCATGAAACATGGAGAAAACTTGAATTTAGCCAGTCATCGGATGGATTACAATACTTCCTAAGCTTGGGAATTTGGGAAGTAAAAGTATCTCTCCAATATAGTAAAACAAAAAGTCCGTTATCCATCAATTGAAGTTTCAAGTCGTTATAAAAAATGTCTATACAATTGCTTTTAGGTTATATAATTCCTTAAACAAATTTATTCAAATTCTGGAGTTTATTTTTACTTCCCGAGCGTAACCTAAAGAAATATTAAACTTAATTATTATTTTAAATAATTAAACAGATGTCAGGATTTCACCTACATTAAATTTAAATTTAAAAGTGTAATATCCCACCCCAAGCTTGATCGCCCACAAACTCAGGTGTAAAATCAGATAATATTTCTCCCTTAATAGTCATTGTACATCTGCCTGGACCTTAATATTGTATCTAAAGTGAACAAACACAATATAAACTGCTATAGTACAGAGTGAGGAAAAATCGCACAAACCGAGGCAATACTAGCAATACAAATAAGTTATTGTGTTTTGGAATCAAAGGTTAACTTGACACAACAAAGTGTATATATTTTTAAAAATGTAATATTTTTCCGCAGTGAAATAGGAGTTTTAAAAATACGTCCCTGTGACGGCTTCTTCCTGCTACTACGGATCTGTTTACTGAATTATCACCGTCTTTAATTCCAAATAGCAATAAAATCTTAGTTCCGTGACTAAATGCAACCACAAACCCGTCTCTTAATTTATTAAATATTCCGTTCATAACCCCAGAATTCACCCCTATAATAATTAAAAATCACATCGTCTTAATTCCTCCACCCTTAACCCTGCAGAATTCAAATCAGGCTTGATCTTCCCCGAAATTCCTCTAATAACGGTATTACTGCACCACGCTCTCCCTTAATATCGATCTCGCAATTACTTTGACTAACCCCCTTGTGTCTTTTTTGCAGACATTCCGGAGATGATATACGTGACGACCATTCCCAGAGTAGACGAAGTAGACACAGTCTTGTTGACACAGTGCGCGCCGACCTGGTCCGTGGAAACTGACACGATATTCTTCATTTCGAAAATGGTCATGTTCTATCTGATTCCTCTGCTCTTCATGTCAGTAGCTTATCTGCAAATAATACGAGTGCTGTGGAAATCAGGCAACGTACCCCATCAGATTATGGGTAAGCAAGGAAAATTCGGTTACGTGCGCTCGCAGAGATAAGATGAGTTCTTTCGACAAATTTGTTGGAAAATGCAGAATACATTTTGTGCAGAGTCAAACAAAAAGTGCAAAACGATCCCGTTTTCTGCGTCGCGTTGCAAAGTGTTTGTTCCACTTTTAATTAAATAAATATATGTATTTACGAAACCAGAGTGCAGTTTAAACCTACATATGCTAAAATTAAAGCAATCACGAAGCACATTCCAAAACCCAGTCCACACAATGAAACAATTATAGCAGATTCGCTTCCTACATTCAACATTAATAATCACAACGGCTAATTTCAAACAATAACACTGCACAAAGTTTATACAGTACGAGCTATACTGGAATGCAACAATCAAGAGGTTGTTACTAACCTAAATACCACGGAATTTAAACGTCTTGTACTGGACTTTCATGAATGTTTCGTACATCCAGTGACGTGAAATTTAAAAATGGTGCATTAACTAGCTGTTAACCGCAGCTCCATTTGCGTGGATTTCGCAATTTTTATACATTATTTTTCATCCCCTTATTTATTTCTTGATTTCAAGTTTATTACTTTTTAAGTTTGCGCAGTCTAAATTAATAACAATATATAAAATTGTTTGTCCTGTTCGGCTGACTGATCCATCAACATACCAATGGAGCTAGAAACATGAAATTTGGACAGAATGTTTGGAGTTGGAGTCCCGTGAGTTTTTAAATTCGACGGCACGGGAGGGGGGGATGAAACAAAGCTATTCTAATAACAATATAATAGAATAGTAACTATATTTATTTGAACGGGTCAGCCAGTTACAGAAATAAAATATTATAGCAAAGAACAAAATTAATTTGAATAATTTGTTACTAACTAAGTACTTCTTTGTATACAACATTCCTGGTGTAGGTAGGCGAAAAAAAATGTTGCTTCTCTGGTGAGAATCGAACTACACGTTTACCGCTTGCCGGGCGGGTGCCCATACCACTAGACTACGGAGGGCTCTCGAGATTCTTATGCAACTAAGCAAAAGACACTCAGGGCTCCCGACATTCTTATGCAGCTAAGCAAAAGACACTCAGGGCCCCCGAGATTTTTAAGCAACTAAGCACAGGACATTTAGCGCTCCCGAGATTCTTATGCAACTAATCAAAAACACACAAGGCTCCTGAGATTCTTATGCAACTAAGCAAAAACACTCAAGGCTCCTGAGATTCTTATGCAACCAAGTACAAGACACTCAGGGCCCCAGATATTCTTAAGCAACTAGGCAAAAGACACTCAGGGCTCCCGAGATTCTTAAGCAATTAAGCACAAGACACTCAGGGTTCCCGATATTCTTAAGCAACTAGGCAAAAGACACTCAGGGCTCCCGAGATTCTTGTGCCACTAAGCAAAAACACTCAAGGCTCCCGAGATTCTTATGCACCTAAGCGCAGACACTCAGGGCCCCCGAGATTCCTATACAGCTAAGCAAAAGACACACAGGGCCTCCGAGATTCTTAAGCAACTAGGCAAAAGACACTCGGGGCTCCCGAGATTCTTAAGCAACTAAGCAAAAGACACTCAGAGCTCCCGACATTCTTATGCAGCTAAGCAAAAGACACTCAGGGCCCCCGAGATTCTTAAGCAACTAAGCACAGGACATTTAGCGCTCCCGAGATTCTTATGCAACTAAGCAAAAACACACAATGCTCCTGAGATTCTTATGCAACTAAGCAAAAACACTCAAGGCTCCTGAGATTCTTATGCAACTAAGTACAAGACACTTAGGGCCCCAGATATTCTTAAGCAACTAGGCAAAAGACACTCAGGGTGCCCGAGATTCTTAAGCAACTAGGCAAAAGACATTCAGGGTTCCCGATATTCTTAAGCAACTAGGCAAAAGACACTCAGGGCTCCCGAGATTCTTATGTCACTAAGCAAAAAACACTCAAGGCTCCCGAGATTCATATGCACCTAAGCGCAGACACTCAGGGCCCCCGAGATTCTTACGCAGCTAAGCAAAAGACACACAGGGCCTCCGAGATTCTTAAGCAACTAGGCAAAAGACACTCAGGGCTCCCGAGATTCTTAAGCAACCAGGCAAAAGACACTTAGAACTCCCGAGATTCTTAAGCAACTAAGCAAAAGACACTCAGAGCTCCCGAGATTCTTATGCAACTAAGCAAAAGACACTCAGGGCTCTCGACATTCTTATGCAGCTAAGCAAAAGACACTCAGGCCCCCCGAGATTCTTAAGCAACTAAGCACAAGACACTCAGGGCTCCCGAGATTCTTAAGCAACCAGGCAAAAGACACTCAGGACTCCCGAGATTCTTAAGCAACTAAGCAAAAGACACTCAAGGCTCCTGAGATTCTTATGCAACTAAGCAAAAGACACTCAGGGCTCCCGACATTCTTATGCAGCTAATCAAAAGACACTCAGGGCTCCCGCGATTCTTAAGCAACTAAGCACAAGACACTCAGGGCTCCCGAAATTCTTATGCAACTAAGCAAAATACACTCAGGGCTCCCAACATTCTTATGCAGCTAAGCAAAAGACACTCAGGGCCCCCGAGATTCTTAAGCAACTAGGCAAAAGACACTCAGGGCTCCCGAGATTCTTAAGCAACTAGGCAAAAGACACTCAGGGCTCCCGAGATTCTTAAACAACCAAGCAAAAGACACTCAGGACTCCCGAAATTCTTAGGCAACTAGGCAAAAGACACTCAGGGCTCCCGAGATTCTTAAACAACCAGGCAAAAGACACTTAGGACTCCCGAGATTCTTAAGCAACTAGGCAAAAGACACTCAGGACTCCCGAGATTCTTATACAACTAAGCAAAAACACTCAGGGCTCCCGAGATTCTTAAGCAACTAGGCAAAAGACACTCAGGGCTCCCGAGATTCTTAAACAACCAGGCAAAAGACACTCAGGACTCCCGAGATTCTTAAGCAACTAAGCAAAAGACACTCAAGGCTCCTGAAATTCTTATGCAACTAAGCAAAAGACACTCAGGGCTCCCGACATTCTTCTGCAGCTAATCAAAAGACACTCAGGGCTCCCGTGATTCTTAAGCAACTAAGCACAAGACACTCAGGGCTCCCGAAATTCTTATGCAACTAAGCAAAAGACAGTCAAGGTTCCTGAGATCCTTAAGCAACTAAGCGACTTTTTCAAAAATGAAATTTTTAGATACTTCGAGAAGTAAAAATGGCAACATGAATTTGGTAAATTCCTGTTTAGTCGCACCTTGGCTACGACGGCATCAAACCGCCCCAAGGACACACGTGTCACCCAATACAGAAGGATGTAGCGTACGTGCGTGCTCTGTCGGTGGTCATCAATGTAGGTAAGCGAAGAAAAATGTTGCTTTTCCGCTGGGAATCGAACCACACGTTTACCGCTTGCCGGGCATGTGCCCTTACCACTAGACTACGGAGGAGCTTATCTTTCTCCGATTATCAACGTGTTATTGTGCCGCCACAGTGGTAAGGTTTTCATGTGCTAGAATTACCAGACGGCTCGCGGCACTCACTCTGGAATAGGCCACATAGAACTGTCCATGAGAAAAACAATCCTCCACCAGGTCTACTCCGGCCACTTTCACAGTTTGACCTTGTGCTTTATTAATAGTCCTTGCGAAGCAGATTTTCAGGGGGAACTGCAATCTTTTGAATTCAAATGGGTATTCTGACGGTATTAAAGGTATTCGTGGTATGAAAACTTATTTATAATTAGACGAACAAAATCAAACTAGTCCTGACTAAGTGAATTTTATGAAAACTCCTAGCAAATGTCTGTTAAATTGTGTTCGTACCAGTTAACGATTAAAATCCTAACCTGATCGGTGAATTTACAAACAATGAATTACATTTACACGGGTTGGCGTCGTTTAAAATTCACATGTTTTCCGATTAAAAGGTCGCAAGAATTAGCTGCGCGTATTGAAGAAAACGGTGGTGTTGTCGTTACGATTAATTTTCGTTAAACAAAGGCTTCCTCCCTTTTTTTAACTACCAAGCCGACTAATTTAACCTAGCTAACTTACAGCGTCTTTTCACCAGACTCACAAACACACCATCAAATCAACAATGACACTTCACCATGCTTTCAACATGTCGCTACAGAACTACCAACTACCCAACAAGCGTTAACGTGAACATGGTTGCCTGCATGGTTTCAGCGCGAAAATTTGATTCCAATTCGGTCACCACAACGTGTTTCGTTATTTATGTTGAAGAGCATTAATACCAAGTTTCACGTAAATATTTACAACAGAAATGGGTGGGAAATAGTCTTCCTATACAAACTTTACCAGCCCTTTTCACCCTTTTAGGAGTGGAATTTCCCAGGTTCCTTTCTTAATAGGTGCTTACATCACAAAAGGAAACTACTGTCTAAATTTCATGTTTGTAGCTTCAGTACTTTACGCTCTGCGTTGATAAATCAGTCAGGCAGTCAGATCAAACAATTTTATATGTATAGATATGTGATCTGTCACAATAATTATGACATTTGAAACTTCATTTCTGTTTCGTCTTACAAGGAAACTACGAAACTTTTAACTCCCGGTTTTTTGTGAAAGTATGAAAATTGGTTTCCTGGACGTGAAAGAAGCTACATGAAACCATAATGGGATGCCACTTTCGTTTTACGAAAAAATATTTATTTGTTCAATCAATAGCTTAGTAATAGGGGCAACATTATTTCCACATAAAGCCATTCATAAAACAACGTGGACAGCACCAGAAAGTTGAACAAAAAATAAATTGATCAGATACTTACACAAAGAAAATGGAAAAATTCCTTGAAGCATGTCAGAGCAATGAGAGGTGCAAATATTTCTTCTGACTATGAACTTATCAACGCTAAACTAAATCTAAACTTAAAAATAAACCACTCACAAAACAAACGAAAAATAGGCCAAAATTTGACGTGATGAAACTGATGAATTCCAAGATAATTAAAAAATAACAAGAAAATGTAGACAAAGAAATAAGAGACATGA